TAAAAAAAAATAAAAAAATAAAAAGTCATTAAAAAATACCATGCCATGTAAAAAACAATTCTTAACATTCTCACAGACTAATTGCCAGCCTTCCTTCTGTCCAGCCTAAATCTATCCCCACAACCAACGCCTTGCAGAAGCACAGGCCAGATTCCAACCCAAAGATGTTATGTGGGTTCTCCAAAGAATGAGAACAGGAAATGAACTGTTCTATCTGGGCAGCTTTTATGCACAGCTTAGTGTTAGAGCCAGCAACCACCCTTAGCTCTCTCTGTTCCTTGTGTTTATTACCAATTGAAACACTTATGCTGTGCTTTTCCACCAGTTCATTCCAGATAGGCAGAAATGATGAGATATTTCCCATTGCTTGAAATGTTTTTAAAGTTTCCCAAAACTCATTTGAAAGCAGAGAATTTTCTTCTATAGCCTCTCTCCATTTACTTCTCTGCCTTTTAAGTACTAAAACAATATCATCTTGTAATAAATCTTTCTTGCAGTTCAATTTACCCAGAAATTGTCTATGGGAAGGCTACTAATAATTACCTTTCCTGATCTCTCCTAGGATCCCAACCCACTTTCTCCAATTGGAGAATAAGGTCTAGGTGAATATCGTCAAAGGTTCCTGAGAAGTTGGGACAGTGTCTCTCTTCCTAATTTCAAGTTCAGGATTAGGCATCAATACTTATGAAAGAAAAAATATATTCCATACACCATTATAGGTGCTTTGGCTACATGATCTTTGAACATGCACACTGTTTGGAGGCATAAGTTTGGCATACTGACTATTTATAAAGTGAAGAGAAGTTTCCCAGTGGAGGAACATACTCATGTAATACAGATGGCTACTACCAATGGACCACACTCTTGAATATATAAATTCACCCAACACTCTAAATCAAGCTACAATTATGAATATGGTATTGTTTTATTAATTGTTTTTCTAGGCATATCTATACCTCATATAACAGGAATTATTTGGGAAATTTTATTCCTAAGACAATTTTCAAAAAGAGCCCCTTAATTACCTTCTGTCAGGGGGATTCAGAACAAATATTACTGTTCCAAGTGTTCTGCTAGACCACACAGCTCTTTACCCAAGGGAGAGAGTTGCTCCTTTGAAAATATATACATCAAGTAGCTCTGATCCCAAACACAAACTTAGTAATTGTGATTAGCAAGAATCCTAAATACCTAAAATTGTGGAATATGGAAACAGAAAGATGTTAGTAGCTTTTTTGTTTCAAATGGCTCATTTTTGGATGGAAAGCCTGAGGTCTACAAGAGAGAAATCTTACCCAAGTTCACGCAGCATAGCTAATAAATTTGAATCAGGACTAACTTGTAACATGTGACTCACGCTCCAACTTTATCCCACCATCTATTGTCAAGAAATAGATGGTGATCATTCTTAGTCTGTTTTCTGTCTACAGGCTTGTTTATAGATTATTCTATTTGATAAAGGGTTGATTGTTGGCATTAATTGATGCTTTGATTCTTCATTACCTTTGATCAGTCCCTCAACCTCATATGCAAACACAAACACATACAAGAAATCAAGTCTGTGACTCCAATTTATTGCACAAATAGTAACTGAAGATACATAAGGAGATCACAAATACACTAATAATTAATGATACTATACTACATCACAGGATGGAGTAGTTGTGGAGCAAGAAATTAAGACTGGATGAATAGGTGTATATTAGGTGGTCTTCATGGAGATGCTGACCTATCAACTGAAATTTAGAGAGATAATTTGGGAGAATGAAAGTGTGGAGAGCATGCCAACTGTGTGCTCTGTGTATTCCAGAGGTGGGCAGGTGATAAAGGACGGGCAGGGGTGGGACAAGAATCAGAATGGCCTTGAGACAAAACTTCAAAAATTGTGTGATGTGTATAGGGAATATACAGTCAATGATGTGGTTAAAATTTAAATTAAATGGGAGAAAAAGGGGTGTAACATACAATTGTAAAAATAGATTAGATCCACTTCTAGAGGTTCTAGCAGGCCAGGTTTAGATGTGAATATATATGTTATGGAAGTGATGTGATTGATACATGTGAATGATTAAAATGGAGATGCAGCTTAGCAAGCTACATGGTGAAGGCATATATGTGTGTGTGTGTGTGTGTGTGTGTATTTTTATTCTGCTTTCAAATTTTGAGAGACAAAATTTTAATTCAGAAAAGTGAAAATAGAAAACCTGAGGTCAAGTCGTTATTGTTTGTTATGTAATTGTAATCACTTTTATAGTCTAGGGATATTAACCATCTGTCAACTTTTAATTTTGGCACTCTAAATACAGAAAATGCAATTAATTATTTTATTAACTAATTGGGACTAATAATCTCAAACTAGTTTACAGTCTCTCCACAGGACTACTTAGGCTAAAGACATGAACTACTTTTTTCTTCTCTTAAAAACAAAAACAGCAACAGCAACAAAATCACTTTGCTTAGCTTCATTCTTCTTCACTACCTTCTATACACAGTCTACCATCTTATTTATCACATATACCCCCATTTCCTCTCTCTAAACACTGTTGCAAATGTTTTATTTATAGACTCTCACAATTCCCCTGCATGGAATTCCTCTGCTCCTTTTGCATTCCTTCACTATTGCAGTTTTCTCTGCCCTGTCTCCAGCCTTACCTGGACTTGATTTTTCACTGTGGATTTTGCTCTTGCTCAAGACAACAGATGCTGTCTCTGATGGTTAATTATTCCCTCTGCCCAACCGTTCTCTACTTTGGGCTCCCTGCTGTCTACTGTTTTGCAATATGCTTTTCTAACTCTTGCGTCTTCTAGATTTTATCCTAACTTTTTTTCCTCTGATCATAGACATGTGAAAGTTTAAGTTAACTTTACTTCTGCCTCAAAATAATTCTCTTAGAGTCTTAACCCACTTCATTGAATGATGACTTTTTTAATAATAACACTAAACCTCTGTCACCAAATTTTATCTTTACTGTGCCATGATTTCCCTATTTGGGATAAAGCTTTTTACATGTTTGTAAAATATAAACAAAGGTTCATGATTTTAAAAACATTACCATTACCGTAATCCTGTATTGCATGCCATCAGGCCCTCTCCAATTGCATTTGCCTTTGTCTCCAAAGCAAAAGTCTAAATCTGAGCTTAATTAACATCTATCTGTAGGCTTTCTCCACCGTTCATATTTCTGATTTCATATAATTTTTCTCAACATTACCATGTGTTCTCCTCTGATTGTAAACTCAAACACTTAACATATCAGTCGACCAATTACTTGTCTAACTTTATCCTTTAACTTGTTAACAAGATCTTCATTAATTTATTCTTGTTTCATCACAAATGTCTCATTAAATAACCTCTCCATTTGCAGTTTCCCTGTTTTTAACTATCCATCTCACCAAATACTGGGTAACTTAATAAAACTCCCCACTACTTACTCATCAATCCGCAGACATTATTAAACAGTACTGTGTCATTGCATGTGCTGGTGATTCAGGCAATACGCAGATGTTTTTAAAACTTCTTTGTGTCTTTGCAAAAATGTACCATCATTGAGGGGTTATAAAATATTTGCATATTGAAAGTTATATATAGTGTAAATTATATATATTTGTGTGGGTATTGGTGGGTGCATATCATACACTCGCTATTGTAGCTATTGTGAACTCTAAAAAAACTAAGAACCAAGTATTATCAAACTTTAAAATTTAACTCTACTTTTAGCCACCCTTCTTGTTTTCCCTATTTACCTAGTTACAGACACATAGAAAAAGCTTACCTATTACCTGTTGACTTCCCAGAAGGGATGGATGTGAGATCATCATATAAACCAAGAAATATAGGAGCCTATTATATTGACAAATGAACATAAACAACAAAAGCAAAATATTGTCATCTGGAGAAAAAATGTAATGTAAAATCGACAGATCACGGAGAAAATAGACGTTTTGCCAGCAGCTCCTAAAACAAAGACCTTGGCTTTCTGGATCCTTTGCTGTGAATCAGTATGTTCTGGTCACATGATTCTTACGAATCCATGGGAGGTGACGTTTCCTGTCTGATTTCCAACTCACTGTAAATTGGTGAGTATATGTTTAATTCTTCATAAAGACAATCAACTGGAACCTGATAAGGAAAAAACCATCTCACATCATCATCAAGAATTTTCCATCACTAGAAGTCTTGTTCAAGAGATTTATCTCATCTTGTTTTGTGTTTCTGAATCTCACACTCTCTCT